TCCTTCCAAGCCGGCGGCAATAAATGGATAATTGACGCCACTTGGAAAGACTCACTAACTATCATTCCTTCATCTCGAATTTCGTTGAAGATCATTTTCATCTCCTCAACTTGACTCAAGATCGTCTTCGAATCCACCATTTTAAAATCAAGGAATCGGCCGACAACAAATTTCTTTGCACCGGCATCCTCGCTTTTATATTTGTGGTCCAAAGCATTCCATAGCTCCTTAGCCGTAGCTAATTTGCTATACACGTCGTACAAAGCATCATGCACCCCGTTCAATACGTAGTTTCCGCAAAGGAAGTCAGAATGCTTCCAAGCTTCAACCGCGTTGAAAGTTTGTGCATCCACCTCACCCCCGGTTGCTACCGGCGCATCTTTAGTCAAGAACCTAGCAAGACCGAGAGTAGTGAGGTAAAATAGCATCTTTTGCTGCCAGCTCTTGAAGTTTAACCCGTTAAAATTTTCGGGTTTCTCCACAGAGTTGCTCAGCACGGTAACCATAGGGATTGCCCCTTGGTTGCCCAAAGTAGATGCACCGCGTTGTGAACCATTGTTCACCGATGCTCCACTTTCCGAGTGATTATCGTTTGGCACGTTCTGCCCACCAACATTTTCAATTTCTTGTGAAGCCATTTTAACATTTTCTTACGTTTTCCGAAAACACAAAAAAAAATAAGTTTGGAAAAATACGATTTAAGATTGTATCCGTGTGATATAAGATTGTATCCGTGTGATACAAGCTTGGAAAAATACGTTTTAAGATTGTTGGGTGTGTCTCGGAAAAACGAAGAAATATTAATTAAATAAAATTAATTAATAAATAAAATAGCTAAAAGAAAACAGAAAATAGATGGAACAGAGTTTAGCCAGAGCTCGTGCTACGCACGATGTCCTTAAAACGTATTCGTCGCCTCCCACAGTGCTAGGAGCGTTGCAACGACCGTTTCCCAGGATACGGTGGCTAACGAACTAACGTTTGAGCACACAAACGAGAGTTCCGGCAAACGGGAACAAGGACTGAACACTCAGGAAATTTTCAGAGAGCCGGTGGTGTTTTTGAGAGCTAAAATACGTGTATGATTGCTTGTGAACGTGTAAGAACTTGTGTTTGTTGCAAACCACCTGCCAGCTATTTATAGGAGGATTTGTTGTGTGTTAAATGTAGTGTTAATGGACCTGAACGATGGACATCAATGACCAGTCCATTGGGCATTGAATCGTCCATAAACTGTCCATTTAACGCAGCATTAAAAGAGAAGAACGTTGAACATTTATTGCTGTAACGGCTTAGGTATTTCGTTCCGGAAGGCAACAGAATACATCTAAGGTCTTCTGTTCGGAAGGCACCAGAAGAGCGTAGAGGTCTTCTGTCCGGAGGCCAACAGAAGAGCCCTGAGGTCTTCTGTCCGGAGGCCAACAGAACTCCCCCATGAGGTGTTCTGGTATGAAGCCTTCTGTCCGGAGCAGTTTTTCCGGTCTGGAAAAAGTTAAGGAACGTTACGGGAAGAAACAAAAGTTAAATCGTATCTTTGAATGATAGATTTTTCGGACGGCATTCGTGTCCGCAAGTCGTCCGCGCACACGAGTCACAGTTTTTCTTCTCCATTTTGGGATTTGATCGGCACCCCCCCCCCCCCCTGCGCGTAAAGAGAGCCTTTACCTTTAGGAATCTTAACTCCTTAAAAGAGGCTTACCTTTATAAGCGGGTGAAAATCCCTTGAGTTTTCCAGTGTGGTATAAAACACACTAGAAACCCATCATTTTCCCAGTTTTTTCGTTTCAACGAGTGAACTTCGAGAATCAATTTCCCATTCACCCGTTATCCGTTTTGAGCGTACCATATATCGAATTGTAGCCCTTAACAAGGACAATCCGAAACCACTTTGACTCGACCCAAATCGGAAGTGGACCCAACTCAAATAATTTCCCCAAAATGACCATTTAATGCAATTTTTAACACATTTTTCCAACAACCCCCACATGAATGAAAATTGATTTTCGAGACTTAAAAAGACAAGAAGATAGGAGGACACGTTGTGTTCACCGGATGATCCTTGCATATAGAGAGGTAGGTTTTATCCTTTGAACCTTCCGTTGTAAAGACGCGTTTATTTACTGGCTGTCTATTAGACTCGATGTCCTTGAACTATACAGCCGTCGTGTAAACATTGACTTATCTTTACACAAGAAGCTTCCAACTTTGTTCCGTTCTCATGGGTGTGCCCGTTTTGGCCATGGGTCACCGTCCTGGTTCTGCAAGAGTTTCTAAAAACTGAACCTTTACAGTTCTCCTTTGTAGCGGCCCTCTTCTCTCTCACATAGGTGATTCTTTCACGAGTATCCTTCATACTCTTCCAATGTTATCGAGTAGATCAACATTTTAGAATCATTAAAGCAAATGTTTTTTCTAACCTCGTGCGGGAGTCACTGTTTTAACGAGGAGTGGGTAGGAGTCCGGGACCCCCACAGTGACCATCCTTCGCTCTATAATTTAGTTGTCCCTTTTGAACCTAAGACCAACTAGGTTGGGTATCCACTATAGAACTTTTCAATTCAAGGGCTTTAGTCCCATTCCTCGTGACAACTTCTCCAACAATTCTCTATCCAATGCCTTGGTTAGCGGATCCGCTATGTTATCCTTTGACTTCACGTAGTCAACAGTGATAACACCCGTTGTGAGGAGTTGTTTAATGGTGTTGTGTCTACGATGAACGTGTCTAGACTTACCATTGTACATATTGCTCTGTACCCTTCCAATTGCCGCTTGACAATCGCAATGTATGCATATTGGAGGGATGGGCTTTTCCCAACTTGGAATATCCTCGAGAAAATGGCGTAGCCATTCAGCCTCTTCAGTGCACTTATCCAAGGCTATTAGCTCAGACTCCATCATGGATTAAATAGATAAAACTATTAGCACAAACTTAGTTTATATCAAGATTAAATAGATGACATGTCATATTATTTCAAAGGTTCTCCTAGTTACATGTGGTTAGTTCAAAGCGCTGCAGCCTCAAAGGCCCAACCACAGCGCCGCACCGCGTTCAGACAGAAGGAGTATAAGAAGCAGAGATGTGCAGGTGAGACTGGTTGATGAAGGCCACATATGGTCAAAGTCGGCGACGTTGGGTCGAAGTCGACGACGTCGATGTCATAGTCGGCGGCGAGGCAGCTAGGCGCAAGTGAGAGCGCTTGATGAGGAAGAGAGGCAGGTGCGAGACGCGGTGGGTGCACGAGAGGCAACGGATCAGGGGTTAGGGCAAGGGTTAGGGCAAGTGATTTAAATCAGTTTTATGCCCAAAAATTTATTATCATATTTTTGTACTTTAAAATTCTATTAGTAATAGTTAGGTCATTCTTGCATAACCATGACCTAGAAATCTAGCATTCCGTATTAAATACGGAGTATTACCGAGCATTAGGGCATTCATTAATTTATTTCAACATTAATTTAATAGATGACCTGTCATATTATTTCAAAGGTTAGCATTGAGGGAGAGAAATTATTCTGGTGATTATTTAAAAAGAAAATCCGGTACCAAGATTCAAATTACGGATTATTTTAGATTATGATTAAAATGTATTTAACGCATGTCCTAGGAAAACTAATTATATGAATAATTCTTTACTTTGAGATTATATGAATGTCCTAGAAAAATCGCATGTGTATAACAATTAGGTATATTGGAAAATTCGTTTATTTGAAGTCGAGATGCTTTTAGGAGAGCCGAGTCTGGGCATTCATATTTAAATATACTTTTTATAGTTTATAAATATTTTTACTTGTATACACATGCGAGATCTTTTTTCAACCACTGCTGAAGTGCTTGCAAGACATTTTAAAAATATATTTGTTGTCAAGTTTGGTAGGGAGTATTCATAATTTCGTAAATGTAACACGGAGTACTTGATAGACTTTAGTTCAATTAGGATCTGTAATTGAACTGATTTGGTCTGTTTAAGTTTAATCTGGTTTGAACTAGCTGGTCTGGTAACGTTTGGTCTTCGTGTATTTTATAATTATATAAATCTAGTCTGGTCTGATCTATTTAAGTCTAATAACCGGTTTTACCATGTCTCGAAGATTATCTTGATTTTATAATATTGTCACATATAGGAGTAATAAAATATAGGGAAATTACCCAAAATAGAAGCAAATGACACTTGGAATTCCAAAAATAGGACTAGAATGTTTTTCTTCACGAAATAGGAGTTATTACTGTCATGTATGAAAAATACTCCCATGATTGAAAAATATTGTCATTAATTATAATAAATACTGTCATGTTAAATGCACTGTACTGCAACTATTTGGCAGTCACGGCTACAAGATGACAGTAAATACTGCCATGTTAGTGCCATTTCGGGAATAAAAAAAAAGTAGTCCTATTTTGAAATTTCAAACTTCATTTACTCCTATTTTGGGAAATCTCCCATCCTAAAATCTATAAGTTTTCAAAAATTCACATATCATTTGGGAATGAAAATAAGAATAAACTCTAATTTTGGTCGTGCGAGTATCACATCAATTGCATAATTAAATTAAAAAATCTCAATCTAAATACTTATACTCAAATCAATTGAATATTGATTAAAAGAGGAAAACTAGAAGAGTAAAAAAACCAACGAAAAAATGATGCATCTATATATTTCTTCCTTAGTAAGGATATCTTACCGATTAATATATAATATTACTACATAATATTAATAAATTTTTAAAAATTTGGGGCCCCATAAATTCGAGGGCCCTGTTTTGGATAACCTATTGAACCCCCTAAAAACGGCCCTGAATACTACGTATTAGTCCAGTATAAAAAGAGAATAAACTAAAAGGTATAAACTAGATGTTAGTAAAATTAACATAAAACTTTAAAATGGAATTAATGAATGAAAATAATTGGTTAGAAAACAATGTTTTTCATAAATGAAGTGACACATGCAATGACTTTAAAATCTCAAAATTGAAATTTCGTAGCAAGTAGGAGCCAAGAACGTACAAAAGAGACCACCTTCACACGACCATCCTCCAATTATTATATTCCCAATTCGGCCCAAGCCAAACCTCATTTATTTCGAACGCTCCCCATTTTCATTTCTCAATCCTCACCTCTTTCATTTTCATCCTTTCTTTCAATCCTCAAATTAATTCACCAAGATTAGTGATAGCTAATCGCAGGAAAATGGATGTAATTGCAGAAGACGGCCACCTTAAAGATCCCGCCACGGAACTAGCTCGAAGCTTCTCGTCTCAGCTAAAGATTTACCATGAAATTCCCCGTCCAGAGGAGGAGGAGGATGAAGAAGAAGAAGATGAGGCCGGAGATGAGGAGGAATTTTCATTCTCTTTCGCCGGAGACGAAGCTTCTCTGATCGCAGCCGAGGATGCGTTTCTGAACGGGCAGATCCGCCCGGTTTACCCGATCTTCAATGGGCATCTTCTCCTCGGTGACGCCGATTTGGAAGGATTGAAAGAGAAGCCGCCGCCGGTGAAGAATCTGTTCGTCGAGACGAACGATTGGACACCGTCTGCGTCGGGGAACGCCGGAGAATGGTCGGGAGAAACTCTCGAGGCGGTGGCTGGACCGGTCGGTTGTAAGAAGAGCAACTCGACCGGGTTCTCCAAATTCTGGAGGTTCAAAGATCTGCTGAACCGGAGCAACAGCGACGGCAGAGATGCGTTTGTGTTCCTGAACAGTTCGGCGAGTGATCCCGCCGGGAAAATAGACGGGAAGAAATCGAACTTATACTCGTGGGCGAAAAAGACCGGCGGTGCTAAAGTCAACGCCGATCCTGCCGGGAAGAACGTTACAAGAAAGGGTAAGAGCAAAAAGGAGCTATCGGCTCATGAGCGTTACATGAAAAGCAAGGCAAAAGATGAAGATCGCCGGCGGTCGTATCTGCCGTACCGGCCGGAGCTTGTCGGGTTTTTCACTAATGTGAAAGGCGGTTTAACGAAAAATGTACACCCCTTCTAACGATTATACTACGCAGAATTTTACAGAAGTTCTTTAACCAATTTTTTATTCTAACAATTAATGAAAACTGTTTAGCAATCATAAATTATAACGGGCATTTGATGTATAAAACGATATACGGAGTTTAAGGTTTTGCGTTGTTTTATTAATATCCAATTATTATTGATGCCGTTACTGTTTTTTTATCTCTAAATTATTGTTTAGGTACTTTAAGACTTTAATTTAAGTACCTAGTTAGTCTTGTAAATGTTTTTGAATTCACTTTTTAATCAGATGCATGTTCTGTTTAAATACAGATAATACTCCGTATTATTTACAAAAAAGAACAAGTGAATCATTGTAAAGAGAAACAAATTAATATAATTTCAATCACATCATTTCCAATTTTAGATGTTTGTGAACGCAGTTTTATTTTAATGGAATTTGTTTCTCTAAGGCAATGTAATGTTCTTTCACTCTCGAAGTATACATAGAAAAATCTCCCCAAATTAAGTAGATCTTTTCGCTCATCATACGAGAGCTTTGAAGATTGATTTGGTTCCAAAGTATCATTACACATAAAATTGGGAAGATTGCCATAAAAACAGGCAGGAGAGAGTAAAGAGGATGTATTTTAGGAATTAGTGGCAAAATTTTTAAAGTACATTAATTTTAAAAGTTTAGGTGTATTCAATGTGAACGTTTAAAAGTCTAAAAGTCTAGGTGAATTTTTTGTACATTAATTCTCTTCAATTGTCTCTTCTCCTCACTAAAGATTTCCATTGACTTTTCTTATATCGGTTCTTCATCCCGTCCCACCTCATCCCCCCCCCAACTCTCCTGTTCTTTAGCCAAGCCACCCATTCCCCTTCGATCTTTCTTCTTCATCAGCCCAGCCCGCTCCACCCCTCTCCTTCCGTTCTTTTTCTTCTTCAACTTGCCCCACCCCACCCCCTCGATTCTCCCTCGATTCGTTAATCCCATATTAGTTCGATTCTAGAAGTTTGTAGAAGAACTAGTATAAGAATCGATAGTATTACATCAGTGCAGTTATGGTACGTCGTCACTTAACCATTAAGAAAATAAATATTTTAACTATTACTTTCTTTCATCGTTAAATCGCTAACACGTAAAATTATAACCTCAAATTAATAAATATATAACCATAAATAAGTATACAAAATTTTACAAGATAGAAATAAAAAGAAAACAATTATTAATAAAAAAGCTCGATTGCATCTATGCTTGTACCACATGTAGCAATGAGTGTAATCGTTGTGTAATGATTAATGTTCTTACTCATTAATAAAATAACCAAAATTCTTGAGCATTCCTGAAACTTTGAGTTTTATTTAAATAAAAATAAATTTAGATTCTTATGCTTCATTTATTCTTGTAGAACTTTGTGTTGTTATATGAATTATTTCATTTATTTATTTATTTATTTATTTGTTTGTTTATTTGTTTGTTTGTTTGTGTGTTTGTTTCTTATCATACTTCGTATTATACAAAGGAATTACTCAGGGTCGAACTAAAACATACTCCATCCGTCCCTTTAGGAGGTTCCCACTTTCCTTTTCTGGATGTCCTATATTAAGGTTCCAATTTCCATTTTAGGAAACAATTAACAATCTTAAGTGACAAATTAATCATTAAATATTAGAAATAATACATTTATAACATCACAATTATCAATACTAAGTACATTAATAATATATACCTATTAAAAATATATTTCTCAAAATATACTCGAACTACTTTATTTAATTATTGCCTAAATAAATATGTCATTTTGCTATGGGAACTTTCCAACGGGAAGGAGGTAGTAGCATTCTTCTTAAAGTATGATCATATGTTTGATTTTCCTTAAATAGGACTAAATATTACATAGTCACCCCTAATTTAATTAACTAATTAATATAATTAATTGTCCCTAGTTCCCTTGCATAATCAAATCGATTTCGTTGGTGGCGGATCAGTCCGATGACGACAGCGGGAAACTCCGGTGACGGAGGCGGACAGAAATATCAGTAGCGGCGATCTAGGTGAAAATTTCGACGACCAACAGTGGCGGTCCGCATTTAAAAGTCTATGGACTTTTTGAAAGTCAATAAACTTATTCATGGATTTAAAAGTCCATAGAATTCATTAATAAAAAAAAATATGAATTTAAAAGTCCATTGAGTTTTTTAAAAGTCCACGAATTAAAAAAAGTCCACCACAATCTATATTCAATGCACCCCCTAAATGTCTGACAGAATAAACATAAAATTCGTCTAAAGTAAAATTCAAAAAGTTTTATTACCTATGTCATAATGGATTTTTCCAATTTTAAAGTAGGTGAGAAAATAAGAAAAGTAAAGACTTACCTGAGTTTTGAGCAAAAAAAACAGAAAAATGAGAAGAATCATAAATTAGTTACTTTTAGTTAGAAAGTAAGTCTCTTTTTCGAGACAGTTATGGAAAAGCATTAGCTTGTGTCCATGACACTATTGTATGTATTGGATTGTATTCACAGGTTCTTTAGATTTGTCCCGCTTGAAAACACCATTGATCTAAATTACATTAGATGTCGATCTTGTATTTGCCAATTTGTTGAGCTTTTTTATAATAAAAAATTTATAGATGGGATAATACATAAGACTTTGAGAAGAAGCGTAAAAACAAAGCATATATGCTCCATCCCAAAGCCACTCCAAAGAAAGAAGAAAATTGTGGTTTCTAATCAAACCAGAAAAAGCAATCAGTTGCCGGCAAATCCAATCGCTGAAGGAAAACACTAGGAGGTGCCTAGATGTCCTGCGTCAACAATTTAAAACGGGCCTTCTCCCAAATTTCTAAGGGTACCCCTTTTACTCGAGAGACAAAGGACAACTCTGCCCTTTCATATGCGCATCACGTTTTTTCTTTAATACTTTCTCCGTCCCTAATAACTTTGCCAAATTTGATTCGCACGAGAAATAATAAAGTAAAAATTATGTGATTGAGATTTGTGCTGATTAGAGAGAATGAACTTGAATCACAATTCTTTACTAAAAGGGAAAGTTAGTTGGATATTCAAAATAGGAAAGTTACTAATTCATTTGTTTACATTATACCAACTACTCCATATCTCATCTTCAAAAACTAGAGGTAACAAATACACTAACATATCTATATTTTAATAAAACTAAAAGAAATATGGAACAAACATATATTTATTTTAAAGAACACATCTTCAGTGTATTTAATATAGGGATGGAAAAGGGTGAATCGGGGGATGGTTATACATATAACGGGACCCGTCCCATTGAACAATTTCTCTGGCCCATAACTGTCTCATTAATCAATGAGTAATTTTTATTCAAATCATAACTGCCTCGACAGGTAATGAGTATAATCGTGAGTAACGGCTCTATTAAATGGGCCATTAAATCATTGATATTTTAATATAAATTACTATTTTAAAAGGTGAAAAAAGGCATCGCCTAGACGATTTCAGACTTCTGACGCCATTAAAAGTTTCATATATCTACAAGACGAGATAGAAGACAATCTAAATTAATTTGAACCTAAATATATTTAAACTGAAAAATAATTATTCGTGAAACAATATGATTATAATCAAACAAGACTATTAAAATCTGTTATGAAACTTTCATTCATACATTATAATTAGTACATCCATTATCCATATTTACACAATGAAAAGAGAAAAAACTCCTTTATTAATTGTGGGACAACTAATATATAAAAATGTAATGAAAAATAACTAGAAATAAACGAGGCGAGTAATGGGGTGGGCATGTAGGCCTGTCAATGGGTCGGGTCCGGGTCGGAATGTAGTGTTCCAGACCCGGACCCGCTAAGTTAATAATGGACCCGGACCCGACCCGTATACCCGACGGATCTGAAAATTTGGACCCGGACCCAGACCCAACGGGTCTCGGAATCGGGTTGGGTAGACCCATCCGCCAAGTATGATACTCACACTATTATAATTTTTTTGAAAATAACAAGACATGTATGTGAAATATAAAAAAGTCTACAAATTTAAAAACAAAATATGTCTTCACTTTTCAAAAAAAATCAAGGTCTCATTGAAAATTAGTACTTTTATCTAGTAAAGTATCGCTTCTTGTACATGCATATAGCTTCACACTCTGCGTCGCTCTCTCTCGTACAAAAAGCTCGTAGAATAAACTAGAAATTAAGTCATAAAAAGGTCTTTTGGACAACTAAGAGTATAAAATCATATGTCGTAGTATTATATATGATAATGATATAATAATATTAATAATAATAATAGTAATAAATATTGTGTTTTTTCCTACCGAGCCCAATACATGCTTTATCAGTATGTATTTACGACCAAAATGGGCATTAGTTTTAGAGTATCGATCTTACTATCTAGATCAATATCACTTATATAATAAGTATGTATTAATGTGTATATTTTTATTGAAGAATCACAACTAATAACTTTATGTATTATTATGTATATATGTATATTACTTTCTATTTTATTCAAAGTGTTGTAACTAATCACTTTATGTATTAGTGTCTGTGTATACAAATAAGAAATTTTAAATGGGTCCGGATCCTTAACGGGTTGGAATCATATGTACCATACCCGACCCGTTTATTTAAAATACTAACTGGTCAGGTCCGGGTCCAGACCCGACCCATTGACAGGCCTATGGGCATGTATAAAACAGTAACTACCATGTTACCCATAAAAATCTAGCGGGTATTTCCTACCTCGTGCTCGTTACTCGGTCAATGCGGTTTTCCCCGTTTTGATCGTGGTTGTTTGATGCGGGTATCCATCAGATCGATCACAATTACCAATCTATAATTAGCTAACTCTTAATTGCACAAAGTCCTTAATTTTTTTATTAAAATTTAATTATTTCTATGATTAAGATTTAAATTCTTACATTTTTAAATTATAAAGGTGTTATTGTTCGACACCCACTATTCTTATATGAAAGTGTTTGACTTATTAACGAAGTAAACTGCGTTAACTAAAGATGTATTTTACTACTCCGAAAAAAAACTTAATTAAACAAGGAAGTTTTCGTCAAGCATATATAGGTGCACATAGAAATTAGAGAGGTGCGCCAAGCAATCCCCATACAAAATTTTGTGATAATGTTTTAAAGTGTAGATTATATCCATAAAATTTCAGTTTAAAATTCAATAAAAAATCAG